ATGAAAAGTAATCAATGGAAAAAAGAACCATCCTTAAGGTTTAGTAATATTTCTTTCTGGTCTATCTCACACCTGTCACCTTTTTATTAATATCATTAGGTAAATTTTTAGGTATAATGTGAAGTACCTGATTACTTTATAAAATGTTTTGAGTAGAGGCATAGCATATCGTAGTAAGTCAGCTTTATTTACTTTCCCGCTTTTTGAAAATCATGAATAAGAATCAAATTTAGAGTTTAACTTTTCTGGATATTAATCATCTAACCGAAAACTAAAATCCTTGGTAGATTAAAGACCTAAATGTGAAAGGCAAAACTGTATCTCTCTTAGAAGAAAATATTGGAAAATATCTTTGTATCTTATCTGTAGGATAGGAAAATACTGATAAATTATACTATTGATATATTAACACAAAGAAGTTTTGATCAAAGATGTCATTAAGTGAAAGACAAACCACAGAACAGAAGATACTCACAACACATATAACCAGATAGTTAATAACCATAATATATAAAAAATTTCATATAAACCATGAGGAAAAGGTAGAAAATTCAATTTAAAAAATGAGCAAGGGACTTGAACAAGCACTTTACAAAAGAAGATATTCAAGAGGCCAATAAGCCTATGAAAAGGTGCTCAAGCTTATTAGTCATCAAAAAATGTACAACCATCAGGTTGGCAAAAATCAAATTTAACTGTACTGAGGGCTCATGAAGTTGTAGAGCAATAAGGACTACCAAATACTGCAGGTGGGGGTATAAACTAGCACAGTCAATTTTGAAGAACAGTTTGGCATGACCCAGTATTCAAGTATGTTATATATCCTATGGAAATGTACGTTTACATGCACCAGGATTCATGTATAAGAAAGATCACAGCAGCATTGCTGGTCATAGCCAAAAACTGCAAACAATTTCAAATGCTGTCAACAGTAGAATGAATGAATAAATTCTGATGTAATTCTATAGTATAATACATAGTGATAAAAAAAATGAATGATTGTAACTCCATACAACTTGGAAGACCTGTATAAACATAATCAAGCAAAAAAGCAGCAAAACTACATATAGAATAATTCTACTCCTATAAACAGAAACAGGCACAATGAAATTATGTTTTTCAAGGACATTTACTTATGTAGTAAAACTATGAAGAAAAATGAAGAAATGATTATCATAAAAGTCAGGGTAGTAGTTACCTGTGAAGAAAGGGAGGCAGGGGCCTCTCAAGTGCTGGTCAAACCCACCTCCAACATTTACGGGGCCCAGGCAAGGGTACAAATAGAGACCCACACACCATATGTCTAAATATTTAAGTACGTGAAAGTTATGAACTATTAAATATGTTCTATCCTCCTGTCATGAAGAATATACCTTTATAACTACCCAGAAGGCCAGATTCATATTGAGAATTTTTGCATTCCTTAGAACTCATGCAGAAAAGTAGCAGTGCAGGGAAAACTGGCCACTGGCTCACTGCCTACTGCCCCCTCCCCATCCCGCACTGCAAGGGACCTCACACACAGACATGCAATTAACCTCACCCACAACCTCTATCCCATACCCTACTCCCCATCAACAGCTACATTTAGGGCACCCTTAGGCCTAAGGGTGTATTTACCAGCCACGCAGTTTACCTTCAGGAGGACGGACAGCAGGGAAGAGACCCACACAGGCTCTGGAAACAAACTCAGAGCCATTTGGGCAAGCAATTCTGAAATCTTGGGTACTCAAAGCATGCTCTAGGATAGAAGGGTCAGGCTCCAAGTGGACATGTGTGGTATGTCCCAGAGACTCCTTGCTCTATGGGACGGGGCACTGTCAGAGAAGGGGCACAGCAGAGGCCTCTAATGCACAGGGGGTCCCTCTTGCCGGGACCAGTATTTCCTAGAACCAAGCAACATTGTATTTCTTAACGTGGATAGTAGTAAACACAGCTACTCACTTTATAATTGTTTGTTAAACTGCACATATAAGTTTTATGCAATTTTTTCACAAATAATGGGACAGATACCACATGCCTGCCGATATTATGCAATACGGAGGACACATATCACTTCTGAGGTACTTTGGCCAAAAATCCATAACCTGAATCTAATCATGAAGATGCAATCAGACAGATAAAGATCCATGAAATTTCCATAGAACAACAGACCCAAATTCTTCATGAACATGTCAAAATAGGCAAAGAGAGGCTATAAAATTATTTCAGACTGAAAGAAATTAAATAGATATAAGAACTAAATGTATTGCATGATCCTGGACTGGATTCAGGGGAAACTGCTATAAAGGACACCATTGAAACAATATTGATCAAATTTAAAGGTGGACAATCAACATTATATTAATGTTAAATTTTATGATTTTGATAACTGTATTAGAATTATATAAGAAACGTCCTTATTCTTAAGATATATACCCAGAAGTGTTTAGGGATGAAGAAGGGTCATAATGTCTGCAACTTATTCTTTAACGATTCAGCAAAAATTTTGTGTGTGGGTGGGTGGTAATAAAGCCAATGTGGCAAAATTCCCTTCACAACCCAATGGTTTCCATGCACAATAAAAGGCATAACTTAACTTGGATGTTAACTTTTTATTTCTAGGACAACCATAAACTGTATGTTTCACAGCCTTCATTAGATAATCCAAAAGGTGGAACACAGTTACCCACATTTGCTATTAAGGGAAATCCACTCATGTAACAACTATTGGTGACATTGTGCAAAGTCCTGGTGACATGGAGAGATGTGTACAGTGTGGTCACTGCCCTCAAGAAGGCAACTTATCAGAGAGAAGAGGACGTGAAACAAAAATCCCGGCTATCCCACACATAGCTACCTATATATTCTCTTGGTAAGTTATTTCATCGAAGATTCTATTTTCTCACAGGTATAATGGGAATGTGACTACTACCTTTAAAGGTTGTAGTGTAAGGATTGTCACCACAGGTTTGAGCATGTAGGATAACAGAACAGTACTCAATAAAAGGTAGCTAGGTTTACAATTATTACAATCTAATTAAAATAATGAAATAGAAAATATCCCCAAGGTTGTAAAGCCAATTAACAGCGTAACTACCATTGGAATCCTGATTACTCCAAGTTTTCTAGACCAAGTATATTTACTCTCCCTAAACACCAAATAATATATGCAAGTGTTTGTGTGTGTGGACAAGGAGTCCCTAGCATATCTTTAAACAAAATGCATTACTCTCTTAGGCACCAAGAAAAAGCACACCAGATCATAAGGTTATTTTTCTCATTAACCAAGAAAGATTTTAGGTCAGGAAGTGATATACGCTGTCTGCACAAGATACCCTAACCTTATCGAAGACTCACTTGTCCAGGAATACATATCCAAATTAGTCCAAAAGTTAAGCCAGAGGAGGTGTTTCATTTAACTAATTTCCAACCTCCTTTTATCAGCAAACATAAAATTCACTAAATTAAGTCCATTTCAAGCATCTCCTTCCAGTTTAGTGGCAGAGAATTTCCTTTATATTATTTTGTATCCTATAACCTAACTCTAAGCCTTCCTCATTAGCAAGGTGACAATATTTCACACTAAATTGTTGACTTGCAGGCATCTGTGGAAGATGCAAACCAAGACCCAACAAATACAATAAACAAAGCCATACTTGAAGCCTGTTGTGTTTAAACTCTTAATTCAAACTATTTTATTCTCCATTCTTCCCGGAATGATGTGGGCACAAATTAAAAGGAAAAGGTACTTAAACATACTTAAAGATAAATAACAGTTTCCTCATATTATTCATATTATCCCACGTGCATGGCTATCTCACACAATAAACAAACACACCATATCATAATCAAACATGAAAAGTACCTGAAAGAGTGCCACCTGTCCTAGGATAGGCCACTTCGACATACACTTCAAACGTGGTCTCTGGATTTTGCCTACAAAAGAAACAGATCAGGATTACTGACAAGGAACGAGGCAGCGTGGAACACATGGGCTGCAGTGTAAGGCAGATCTTCTTTAAAATCATTAGCTGCACGACTTAATCGCCGTGCAACTTTGGACAAGTTACTCAACTTCTCTTAGCCACACCTTCCTAGTCTACAAAATGAAAACACCTAGCCAACAGAAGTATTGTAAAACTTAAAGAAAATACACAAAAGGTGCCTAGGCACAACGTCTGGCACATAGTAGGCTAGCCATTACTGCGATTTCACAGAATGTCATGGTTCCGATTTCCACAGCTGGATCTAAAAAGCCAGAGGCAGAATTTCGAGGAAACTCAGATCAAGGCAACACCCTGAAGCCCTCTCCCCCATGTTCCAGGATAAAACACTCATAT